CGTTTACTCAAGAATAGTACAAGTACTAAAAATACAAGGCAGCAATGAATGCAACATTTTAAAACAGCAAACATCGCATTACTACTTTATTTGGAAGGAATAAAACATGGATAATGACCGAAAGACGAGACAAAATGTCCAAAACTCCAAAATGGTACTCGCGTGGAAAATCGCAGGTATCACGAGTTTCGACAGAGTTCGTAGCTGCTGTTTCTTGTGAGTGGGAAACAGTGTCATGAACAGCGAATAAAACAAACACAGGAAGATCAGACAGTTCGTTTTTGTTCGATCGACAAGCATAAGACCACAGGAACTGCCGGTAAATGACCAAACCGTGGGAAATCAGTCAGTGAACTCTACATTAGCCTCAACATGCGTCTCATGCAACACTCAGGCAACAGAACAAGATCGTGAAAGTTTATGGCGTCGACTGGCACTGTTACTGCTTTGACTCGAAACTGACTGACTGTAAAAAGACTACAGACACTAACACGTACGACGAACTTTATTAAAGGACCAGACTGATTAGTGCAATACTATTTTTATGTACTGTAAATTCCTACATAGCACTATGCTATCACGCCATATTATTATTACATACACTATTATACTATTGTACTATTGTATTATGATATGAATGAAGTTTATTCTGCTTCTCGGTCTCTTGCTGCCAGGATCCTCAAAGACTCGACATGTAATCTGCATGACATTCTCGCAGTTCGGAAGTCGAAAGTGAATGTAACGTGGACAGAACTAAACTCTCTGTAAGCTCGGAAAACCCTGCTGCGCTAAGGTGTGCTTCACTTATCCCGGATTCGACAGAATCCCGCACAATTTCTACGAAAAATTGGAGGCCCGCTTATTTTGATTCTTAGACAACATGTACTGTCAGTGCTTTGAAAACTGCTATAAAGCAGATACAAACTATCTGCTATAGCAATGCAATTGACTGACGGACTGATTGATTGATTGATTAATGCTGCTTTGTTCCATAATCCATCGAATGTTGTCGCACTAGTGAACGGGAAACGACCGAAGTGCAGGTAGCATAACAGGGCGAAA